TAGTAGTAGTAGTAGTAGTAGTAGTAGTAGTAGTAGTAGTAGTAGTAAGTAGTCGTAGTACTAGTACTAGTACTACTAGTAGTAGCATATAGTAGCAGCTGTTGTTGAACTATGTTGAAGTATGTTGAGGTCACCAAACAGACGCAGTTCTCCTCTCCAGAAGCCCTGACGGCCGTCACCTCGTTCGTTCCTTTTTCAGGGTTTTTCCGTGTTCTTCATTCAATTTTAAGCCACTCCAGGATCGCCAGCTTGGCAAGGGAATAGAAATCCACCGTGAAGCCGAGGGTCGTGACCACAACAGCATCCCATGCAAATTGATTGTAGGTTCAACTCCACTGAGTGGACGGTTGAATATCCGAAGAGAGACAAGGGTTGGCCAAGAGGGCAATGGAGAAGTTCTTCTTTTCCCCGGTTTGTTCTTTGGCACTTGGTCACTTACTTGGCATGTGACGACCGTTTTGTGGGACACCACAGGAACCCCCGGCCCCTCAGTGCGCCGGCTTCTCAGGATGGGGTCGTCTTCACCAGCGACGTGGTCCACCGGAAGATGGACACAGATGCTTCGGTTTGGTGGGTGTCGTTCCCTTTGGCACCCGTTGGGGGCGGAGGTTTCTGGGGGGTGGGCGCAATCGCTGGTGACATCTTCAAGTCCTAGCTGGGCACCCAGCAAGCAAAATTCACCTTGAAGGGCCCAGATTAGAATTTGAGAATCTACAGGCGTTGACACTGCCCTTTGAAAGATATATAGCTGGATCATCCAGTACCAAGGCATCAAAGAGTCCACGAGGTCAGAATTCATGCGCGTTCTTGTCGTGACAAAGCCTTGTCACCAATAGAATGTTAAGGTCTTGTCACCCGTGACCGTTCTCTGAGGAGGCTTGAATGCACCCTGGGGAAAAGCATGTTGGCTCGCAAACTGGTGATGGTTTGATCAGCCCAAGGACATTAGCGATTGCCCCTTGACCTTGATCCAGATGCCCTTGACTTTCGACAAATACAATGTGCGGACCGACCTCGATGTCCTCAGAGACCAGGAGTGGCACAGCACCGACCTCGGACGTTTGGACTTTTCAATTGACCGGCTTCGCACGCCGGCGATGCCGGGCACAGACTACAAGACATTCTTAACACAGACACTGCTCCGCGCAAGCGGGGGTACCTTCACAAGCGCTTGCCCTGAAGACACCGGCCCTGGGTTGGGTTTTTGTCCATGGGGCGCCCGAGAGGTGTGATGAGAATGATTGGAACAAAAGTGGGGGGAACCTCTTCGAGGGGGGCCCAGTGAAAGCTTGCCACAAGGTTCCGCATGACTTGGCACCAGGGTTGAGACGTTTATGGTACGGAACAGTGCCTGCAGAATTTCTTCGCCGGAAATAGGCGTCTCTTCTGGGCAAGAATAACAGCCTGGGCATTTTTTGCACTTTTGCGGTAGAAAACACTGCAAATACCGATGGTTTTCAGCTATCATTATGATTTTACTTTAGCCACAGAGGGGGTATCCCAAAATTAAGGAAATTTGTCTGCAACATTGGATGTTGCATTTGCATGTAACTTTCACTTGTTTTAGTGGCACAGAACAAATTTGTAACTTGTATGTGGCCGACCATGTCGCACTGTGTCCCAGTGTTATTTGGCCATGTTGCACTGTGTAACCTCAAACATGAGGCCACACTGTTGCATGCTGCGCATGTTTTCTCTTCTGCTCCTTGTTGAAGGAGGCTCACTCATGAGTGACAGGGAGGGGAGAGAGAGACTCCTGAGAGAGTATCTGAGCATTTCATTTTTATACTGAAAACTATGCATGAATGGAACAGTTATCCATCCATTTATATATTCTAGATTCCGGATCTATTTCATGCCTATGTTAGCCTAGGCCTAGCTGCTTTTGATGATTGGGATTCGGATTCGGCATTTTTGCGACCTGACGGGTATTATCGGTAATACATATACATACAAACTTGGAGATCGGAGAAAGCTGCGATATGCAGATTGGGCGCATTCACAAATGCCACATTCAGTGCGACATGCAAATTATCCAGTGGTGCAACATCCAGTGTGACATGCAAATTTCTCTGTGCAATTGTTTACTGATATGCACAGAGAAATTTGCATGTCACACTGGATGTCACATCACCCTAGAATCTGCATGTCACACTACACTGTTTTGCGCGGACACTCCTGCAAAAACGGATGTATTTCTGCAGTTTTTGCGGGCTCGCAAATTCCAAAAACACACTACTTTAAAGTGTTTTACGATGTTTTACGCCTTGGCGCGTGCCGAAAAACACCCCAACTTCTGCTCCAAACGCACGCGCAGGGGGGAATCGAGCCCGAGACAATTTCGACACCGAGCGGGTGCCCGGGCACTCCTAAGAAGCAAATGAAGATGACGGCTCTGGGATGGACAATCCATCGCAAAAAACCGTCCATCGATTAGAAAAAGACATGGAGATTGAGCCAAGGCGGGAGGGTAAGCATACCGGTCAGGAGTGGGGTCGGCACAGGTCCTTTGAAGATGTGGGACCCTCTCCAGGAGCAGATTTACTTGGATCTCAAGGTGGAGAAAATCTACCGAGATGTTTTGCCCGAACCTCCCAAGCTGCTGCTTTGCCAGGGCGTCGTCTCGCAATTTGCCCAGGAGAGGTTGGCCGTGGGCGGGAAGCGCAAACTTTGCTTCGATGCAACTTCGGAACATCACAATGCATGAATTGAACCTGGATCCCCGTTTCTTCGTCCACTTCACATCATTTCACTTGATGTCTAGCGCCAGACCCCTTGGCTCTTCAGAACCTGGCGCCAGGAACGCCTGGCTAGCCGGCGCATCTCGGTCATCATCGGTGTGCCTGAACACATCCTGCAAGCCATCAGCCGCTGCACAGGCAGCAAGGTATCCTGGTTGATGGGAGGGAAAATCCAGAAGGGTTCAACCTGAGCGGCTGAAGAACTGGTGGTGTCACCTGTTTGTGTTTGAACATTCAAAAGAAACTGAACACATGGCACGTAGCTCTGTTGTTTGTTCTATATGCTCACCAACAGTTTGAAGGGCAGCACTCCTTTCGCCGCACTTCTTCTCAGCTTCACCAGATTCACATTCGGGATGCCCAGACTTTCGGGCCCGCGTTCACGGCGACTCACGGCGACTCACGACATTGGGCCCTCGGATGGCATCGGGACGACGGGCCGAGGTGACCCCTGCGGTGGATTCCATCCGGAAGACGGGCTCGGAAGGCATCGGCGGCAGGGCGCAGAAGTTCAAGGTGCTCCGCAACGGCCATGTGGGCGAGGCGCGGTGAAGGGACGGAGACCCGGTCCTCTGTTCTCGGTGGGTGTGCGAAAGGGCGGTTCCTCGGACTGGAACCATTTTGGAGGAGCACGGTGATTGGTAGAATTTCTAGTTTTCTAGCTGAATGATTCATGAACAAACAGATGGTTTGGGGTTTGGGGAATCTTTAGGCAACTCTGTGTGCCAGCAGCAACTACCACTCGTTTGGCGCAATCAACCAATGGGCTCTCCCTGCTGGCTCGTTGGCATGGAATCAGAGGAAGGCCTTAAACCAATTGGCACTCCAAAGATGCCTCCGTGAAAAAGCAACACACACAGACACACACACCTAATGACCTCCTCCAGCAAGTGTGTTTTATAGTTTTTTGTTGCTCTCACTTTCTGAGCAGCAGGCAATTACAAACTGCATCAACTGAAGATGCCCAGAGAAATTGGTGTGTTTTCATATGTTTCGGCACACGTGAGGCGACCTACAAGGCTCTCACGGTCATTGAGGGCTCCACTCAGGGCAAGTTCAGCACTGTTTGCCTCCGTGGAGAGCAGGTGGGAAGTCCAGCCTGTAGGCGAGCGAGATGGGAGATATGAGGATGAGACATGATGAGTGTACACCATTTTTTGTCAACAGGTCTTTACACGATTTCTTGAGGCTCCAATCTTCTGAAGGCGCATGCTTTGAAAAGCTCCGATCTTCTTCAGGAACATGAAGCTTTGAATGTCACCTGACAGAAGCTCATCCGTGAAGACTGTGTTGGTTCGGTGTTGACTGTGTTGACGCTGATCCGTTCGGTTTGACGCTGATCCACCGTGACAGTGCTCGACCGGACCTCGAGACCATCGCCAGAAGCGAAAGGACCGATCCGCGACCGAGCTTTAGAAGACGTCGGGCACGAGATAGTCACTCAACTAGAAACATCTAGAATCTAGAAACTATAAACCACGTAACTAGCGTATCTCTTTGCAAAAGGTTGCAGAATGGAGATCAAGCTTGCACCTGGAGATCATGGGATTCCCACGATGTGGGACGGATGGTCTTTTATGCCCTTGGTTGGTTGATTCATGTTGATTCATAGAGGGGATATCACCGATGTTCGTGTTTAAGCAACGGTCCCAGATAGAAAACAGTGAGCAGTGAAAACCATGGTTTCCTGGTTTCCCGTAGATTTTTCCCTCAAACATCCTTAAACCAATCCACTGAGTAGACCCCTGCATCAACCCCCGAGACCGACCAGGCCGTATTGGCCAAGCCAGTGTTACGCTGGGCGGTGCGCTTGGCTCGGCACCTGCAACTGGAAAGCGAGCTCCTCTTTGAGCTTTGGTGACCTGGTTGGTCCCAGTGGACGTAGCGAGTTCTTGGGGCGAGGTCCATGAGGGTCCATGATGGTCTCCAGAAGTGCGTGCGTGGCGGTCTGTCTGTGGTGTTTGCCTGGATGAGCCCGATTTCGCTCGCTGTTCGGGGTTCCTTGTGAGCAAGGTTTGACGGGCTGTTGACCACTGTTTAACTATGAACATGGGATCTTTGCTTTCAACATCTCCTTCGCATCCCTTCGCAGTGTTTGATCATATTGACATTTGTTCGGACGCGAATATGTTCGAAGGTTACTGGCACATCTGATGGTTCTGTATTGACAACAAGGAGCCGGATGTTTGAGCAAAGGAGTCATCCAGTTCGTTTTGTTGGGATCTGGGGCCTGCGAAGTCTCCTAAAACGCCAAACAGTCACTCAGAGTCAGAGCCTACAGGAAGCCCGCACATCAGGAGAAAGGCGGCAGTGGATGTGTCCACCCTGAAACGTCAGTGGAGTTCCATATACTGTAAAATGACGCTGTGCTCGGAAAAGGCTTTTTGACTCTTCCTTCAGTGAGGTGTCCACCCTGGAAGCGCGAGTTGGAGAAACATGGAGAGAAGGGCGACGACTTCCAAAGCTCCTCGACGGGATTTCGGGCCGCTCGTGGTTGCTGGAGGGCTCGTGATTGGGGTGGCCCCAGAAGGCGAGGCAGGAAGACGGGACGGGACAACAACTCCAGGCTGCGCCGTTTTTGGTTGTTATAGCATTTACTGTAAACTTTTGGCTATTACAGATTCATAGACGCATAAAGGTTAAAGGAATACATATGAAGATACTTAAACCATTCAACACCCATTCTGGTAGGGGGATTTCTATTCATCACCAGTCTACATGAATGGTGTCCTCATGTTTCTTTGACCAGGTCTCAGACGCAGCATCGAACAAACTACGGACCCAGGCGGTAACATCGATAGATCTGCAACTTGGGGTGTTTGGAAAGGACACGATTGAAGACGTTTGCTATGTGTTTCTCATGTCTTTTGGACTGTTGAGGCTTGGAGATCATCACCTATGCCATCAACAAGGATCAAAGCTGCAAGCCGCCGGAAGTCAATCGTTTCCCTGCCTATTTGACAGAGGGCGTGACCGAGGGCGTTGTGCGTGACTGCACGGCCGGGCAGCCTAGGATTACGCTTTGGGGCAAGGACTGAGTCTTTCCTATGTCTGGAACTCCCATGAACTCTCTTTGGAAAGCTCTGTGATTTTTCGGTGTCAAAGCGAAGTCAGAATTGATTTGGAAGGGTTCGTCTCCAGGATCTTCCAAGATGCCCAGAGTCTCCAAGCAACCCAAGCAATCCATCATCTCCGACCTCCCCTAGTCCTCCCCCTTGGTGTGTCTTTAGACCGCGCGGGCCATTTCTCTCGCCTCTCGTCTCCGGCTTCCAGGTGAGGCAGTGGCTGGAGAGTTGTCTCCAGCGACTGCCCACCCCGAGCTCCCCCGTCGTGAGCGCCACGGCGGCGCTCTCCACGGAGGACGCCGTCTTGACCACGGTGCCGCTGACCGACGCGTGACGGCTATGGGAGTGTGACGGCTGTGGCCGGAGAACGAACGGTGTCCCCTTCGAGCGGTTTTGTTCAACATGTTTTCATAATGTCCAAGATGGTGAAGATGGAAAAGTCATGCTGATTGCGCAGGCATGCTGATCCCACTCAAACACCTCGCCTCTCAGTGTTTTCCTGAAAACACCGAAACAAGAACACACCACGTGTGTGACCTCTGAGGACAACTCTGGGACGGAGCCGGGGGAGGACCCGCCCCTGCCGGAGTGTGGCAAACTGCTTTGCTTCCAGCGGAAGGGCAACCGACTGGTGCCCTGGCGACCTTGGACGGACGCTTCGAACGGCGCTCCTCCGCGACAAAGAACCGTCGCCCGAGCCATGACGCTACGAACGGGGCTTCTGGCCTTACTAGGAGATACTATAGGAGCAAGAACGCCACTAGGAGCAAAGGGCATCGCTACGAACGGAGCAAAGACGAACGGCGGGTTCTTCGGCAGGTCGTGGAGCTGATGGATTTGAGCGAGCAGAATGACAGGGGGCGCTCGCGGTCCTTGGATCCTGCTCCCGCCCCCCCCGCCACTCTGCCACCGGGTGTTTTTCTGGTCGTTTTTCGGACGGAAGTGTTCTATCCTCCATATTCTTCACCTGCAGTGCTAATTGCAAGAATTGGTGTAGAATTTGGTCGTTTTTTGTTTGTTTTAGAATGTTTTTCATTCAGGGGTTGCATTATTTGGTTGTTTGAGCAGCCTGGAGTTGGGGATGAGGAATGGAAGCTAGTAAGATGCTTAGCAGGAGGGAACTCAGAAGGTGCAGACCTGCAATTGAGAGGTGTGCTGATATACCCCAACCGCTGACCGCCATAAGGAGATGCGGACCTCCGATAGTGGTGCTATCACACGCTGGTCCTTGTTCTTAAAAGAGAAGAAAGATGACAAGGAGAAGAAAGATGACAAGGAGAATAAGCAGCGCACTCTTGAGATCCCTGACAGATTGTGGAGTCAGGTTTGTTTTTGTTGTCCTGTCGAAGTAACATTTCTTTATAATACTTACACCTGCGGATTGTTCCGCCGGCCCTTTTGGCCGCAGCGAGAAAGCCAACTCAGTCACGGCAAAGCTATAGGGGGCTTCTTTCAATCTTCGATTCTTTCAAGTGCCCACTTCCACAATTGGCTCCTGTTCCCACAGTGAAGGCGCGAAGCCCTAGGCTCTCAGAAAGGCATGTCCTCACAAAAGAAAGACAAAGCAACATATGACATGGAAACCAAAAAGTACAAACAAGAGACAGCGCAAACACCAATACTTACATGGGGGAAGGGGGGGGGAGGGGGGGGGTCAGGTTAGACCGTTCAAAAATCAGCCCGGGGGAGCACTAAAGCAGACAAGACATAGCTTAACAAAGAACTAACAAAAAACCAACTACCCAAAACACGCTGTGCCCAAGGGCCGGCGGATTAACAAAATTACGTCCATAATTAGTAATTAGATGACTTCCATGTACTTCCCTGCTCCAGTCAAGGACTTGAAAATCTTCGAAGAGTCAGACATATCATGATGTATCAGTTGGCAAGAAATCGTTCGTCAGTTGCAGTAGGTTTCAAAAGGTTTCATATCTGGGGCATTCTGGGCCCTTGGGGCCTAGGGACCTGGTAGTCTTTGATTTTGCATGAAGTTCTGGCTTCAAGCGCTGCCTATTGTCGAAGACGTCTCCATGACTGAGGACATCATCTGCTGTCGATCCTCTAGACTAAGGAAAGAATCAACCTCACCCTCCCCAAGAAAGCTTCCAAGCCAGGCGGAAGCCAGGCATCCACCCCTGTTCAGTCAGTATCAGAGTACGAGTATCAGTATTTTTTCCCGGTTCCATCTTTGCACCAAACTTCTTTCTTCCTCATGTTGATCAGACTCCCCCAACAATTGCCCGGGTTTTCACCTGGGATGGCCCAGGATGTGGCGCTTCTGCCGCGTCTGCAAGAGGCAGGTGACGCCACGCAGTGCCTTGAGCGAGTCAGCTGGATGGTATTCGATGGCCAAGTTCCTTGAGATGCTACTGCACCCTGGTGCCACAAAGGGCCTATACCCTGGGTAGGTTGATTCATAGAGGAAATCCCTCTTGGTGGTACAACCAAGAGGGATATAGTTGCTCGATTGCTTTTAGGCGGACCCAAAATCGATCCAGCACTGACGGAACATGATGGACATTGATGGACATCCATCCCAAGTCGAGTCTTGTTCTTTATTCAGGCGGCGGTTTTGCGTGAAGTGTGTCAAGTGCCACGGTGTGTGTGTGTGTCCCACCCTGGACAAAGGGTTTTCCACCACCATTTCTCCACAAGCAGGGGGCAGGAGTGCCATTGCAAGTCTCCTGCCAACGAAGACGCTTGCAATTGGCAGTGAAACCAGACCTGATCAGTCTGGCGTACCTGCGACTTTGAACTTTTAACCACGCTGTTCCAATCTCTCTTGTTTGCTTCCATGGTGGTTCCACGATACTTCCCCCTAAACCTTTTCCTCCCCAGCAGCGCTGCAGCTTCAGCCGCTTCGTCACCGCAGTCAAGGGAAACAACTTTTGTTCAAACACCTACAAGTTTCTCGGACTTTTCGCCATGCTGTTCCACCGCCATCCTTCCCAACGTGGTAACTGAGTTCACTGAATACAAGTGTCAGAGTGTGTTCTGCTCAGCCGTCCCACTCGGGTGCTGAGTGTGATCCCCTTCACAGGGGCGCTGTTTCTGCATGGGAAAGCACCACCCCAACGCTCCACCGATCACTGGAACATCACAGGAAAGCACCGACCTCCTCTTTGAATCAACTGCCACACCGGCCGCCGGGCCAAAAAACGGTTTTTGACGAATCCCTCAGACTCAGAATTTCTGATTTCCGATTTCATGTGCATGTTTATGTGTTCGTTATGTTGCTGCCGCGACTCTCTCATCAACAGCACTCAAGGAAGGGCATTGCAACTCTTCAGCTTAATTCGAGATGCATGAACACACACTTACCAACAAGCTAACGCTTAGCGCCACCTTACAACATCCTCACCACCGACACCAGCGCTGACACCTTCAACAACAACAAGACAATACCACTCGGCATTTCTTCGCTGCCTTTTGCTGCCGCGCCGCGCCGAGCCATAGCTACGACCACGACATGCATTTTCCGTGGCCCTATGCTCACACCACGCCACCACCACTACCTACCACACAACCTCAACCCACATGGCCGATGCCACAGCCATCCACTGCACCCACCTATCCCTCGACACAACCACCAGCATACCCTCACCTCCAACCACAACCATTTCAACCACAACCGGTTTTATCCGCCCCTACTGCTACCGCACTGACCTACGGCACACCATCCACTTGGACTTTTGTCCCCCCATGTCACGTGCCACCGCAACCCACACATCCAGCTCCAGTGTTTCCGACAGCAGCACCTCCCCCGTCCTACCTGGTACCACCACATCATCCCACACCACCAGCCGAACTTCCTCCCCCCACTACACTGACACATCCCCCTCCAACACAACAACAGACTGCGATTGCCAATTATCCATCCACAGATCCCCAATGTGCCATCCCCCAGGGCGTTTGGCAACCCTATTCAGCCTTTCCCCCCGTCACACAACCTCCACTCCAACCGGGGCCCCCGCCACCGCCTCCACAACTTACCACTGTCTCAATGCCAACACAACCTCCATTTCAACAGCAGCCACCATCGGATCCAGCACCACCGATCCAACCCATCCCCACCACTGCCCAGGACAATCTACTACCAGTCCAAAACACACCGGCCACCGTATCCCAACATTCAGCATCCCCCTCGCTGGTCCCTGCCACACCAGCACCGGGACCCTCAATACCAGCATCAGACAAACCTGACACCACTGCCTCACCAGCACCACAACCACCTTCCCCACAACCACCACACAGCAGTCGCCGCCATCATCACAAGAGCCGACGCAAGTCCGACCATCACCACCGAGGACGCCACCGCCACCGCCGCCGACATCGCCATCACCACCATTCCAAACACCACAGCAAAACCAGGCGACGGCGTTCGCCTTCCACATCCACCTACACATCTAGCCTCACACCAGCCCGCAGTCGATCCCCACCACCACCCATTGATCTACGCCCAAACACCGAACACGCGAACCCTGATCCCTCTCAATATCCCACCACAGCCGTCATCCGTCGCCCATTCAACCGTTGGCGACCTCCACTCAACTTTCACACCCTCACACCCGCAGACCAAATCCTGGAATGGCTCGAATTCCACGCCACCCAACTCGACAATCCCAACAGACCACAACACCAGTACATTGCCAATATCCTCACAGACTGCCACATCTCCTACAAGGAGATCAACGATTTCCGCCAATACACCCACGCTAAGTGGAACGACGCAACTCACCAATACGACCAATTCCAGTACTTTGCCATTTCACTTCCCTTCCTCAACACCAAAGCCACTACACCCGAGCCACCTGCGGTTTCCCGCGCCACATCAACCCACCGAGAAGTTGCCCACATCAACGCAGGCCACACAGGCCCCGTCGGCAACATTTCCAACATTCTACGCCAAGGCCGTTTTCTACCCAGCACACTCCACTTTGCCAACTACCCTGGATTTTTTGCCCAGGGCGTTCGCATCACCCACAACCAACCCCATGACCACAACGAACTTGCCCGCATCATCCACAACACCTGGCAACTCCACAAGAACACCCATTCCCTTATCATCACACTCCTTGCTTGGGGTGCCGCCACAAAGTATACCTCTGGAGGTGAGGAACACGCCATGAACCTCCTTAACGACCACCATGGTGCGGTCTTTCATCAGAAGGGCCGCTGCTGGGTGATCCACCCGGACCACGCCATCGTCAAAGGACTGGCCTGGTCCACCAACTCCACCCCACCGGACCCATAACGCCACTGCCACACATCCACACATCACTACCACCTCCACATCCACTTTTGGTCTCACACCACCACCCAACCTTTGCTGTAGCAGCAAAAAAGAGCCTCTTGCAGCAACCACGGGCATTTTGAACCCTTCATTTTTCTAGCTCCGCAGTTTTTGCTGAGAATCTTTTGAAATGTTTCGGCTGTTTTGCAGGAGTCTTTCACATGTCAGTTTCTGCCTCGTGGAGAGTGATTATTTAAGCCATGTACTCGATTGTCCAATTTGCATTGTGTATTCACCCTTTTGCCTGTGGGAATTTGATGCTCGCTTAATTCATATGCACGGCCTCGGAATGATGTGCTTCCTCAGACTCGCCGCTTTCCGGCTGCTTTGGCGCGCTGCCGCAGCAACCTGTGACGATTCTTGACTACTGCACACCCCTACATCTCAGCCCCATGAGCAGCAAGCTGACACCTCTACAAAACGACACCGCAACTCTCCTTCACAAAACCGCAGTGGCACTTTCCCAGGTGCACAACCTGCTCCGACAAGCAACAGATATTGTAGCACACCTCCACACGGTTTTCCTCCACCACAGCCACCAAGCAGACCCCACTTTCCGCCAACACTTTCAGCCACTTCCAACTCCACCCAATCACCCCATACGTTTACCATCCACCACCTCATCCTGCGACTCATCACCATCCAGACCACCCATCCGTTCACCAGCACCACCCTTACAGGATTCAGACGACACTCCAGCAACACCCCCTGATCCACAACCCACCACAACACGCAAGCGAAAGCAACCACCCCCACCACCACTGAACCAACACGCCGATTGGGACGCTTGGGACGGCGACGCTGATTGTCGCCTGATCGAACTCAAAGAAAACCCAAAACTTCGTCCCAACTGGGCTACTGTGGCCCGCCGAGTCGGTTTCTCCGTTGCACAATGCCAAGCCCGCTGGCAAGAACTCAAAGACATGCAACGACAGCAAGACCAGCAACTTTTCTCCACACCACCACCACCTGCACCACCACGGCAAGCACCTTCCCCCTCACCAACACCTACATCACCAGCAGTTTCCCCAGCACCACACTCACAACCGGACTTCTCCCCTTCCCCCACCACAACACCACCGACTTCACAATACCCAACGACTCCAGCTGCTGCGCCGCTGCCGCCGGCTGCTGAGCGACCGCTTAGTGAGGACAGTCATCCGGAGAAATCTCCAATCACGCCAGTTGGCAGCTATTTCATTTGATCCGTTTCACCCACTTTCCTTACGGCGTGCCACACGACAAATCAGCTGACATGCACTGAATTGTGTTTATTCACACCCAATTTATGTTTCACCCAGTTGCCCACCTTTGATTTTACAGTTTTCAGGCTCACCTCAGCACCGCAGCCTTTTATACGCCATCACAATGGGGGGGGGCCAATCCTCGCGCTCGCCCTCATAGCAGCTCTGACGATACCGAACACTACCTCCCACATTGCCCTCCCAGCTGGCTCCAACCTTCGATTTGTACCCAACCCGATTTTCAATCCCTCAACGGCTCCTTGGACCTCCTATCTATGGTCAACCAACATCTCCGCCGTCACCCATTCCACACTGAACCTATGCCAAGCCGGACTCACTTTCAAGACCAGAGAGCATACAACCTCCTCTACCGACTGCGCGGCGACCTGATCTTGCTAGACCGCCTGATCGATGACCTCTCCCAGGCTCGACGACTCCTCCAATTTGTCACCACCGGCCCCGGGCTCCCAGGACAATACCGCATCAACCCCACAGCCACACTCTCCAGCAGAAACCTGGCTATTATCCACAACGTACCGCCAGGTTTTCCACTACCACCCGGGCTTTCCAGCCGGTCACCCACTCCTTCACCACGTACCCCACCACAAGACGCAGCCCGCCTGCACTCATCTTGGACAGGCCCTCCACCACAAACTACCCCAGCAACTCACACCAACATTGCCACTCACACTAGGGAACGTTCACGGTCCCGCGACAGCTTCTCACACCACATGGGCTAACTACAACAACATCCAACCTCCAGCTCTCCGGCAGCCGCCGCGCAATTTTTATCAACTCTGTGACAGCATCCCTACCCACGGCTACTGTTGCTCT